TCATAGTGATCTATAGTATGAGAGAAAAGTGCAATAAACAAATGTCCACATGAATGTGATTTAACTAATAACTTTTCGTTGTAAAAGTTATTAGTTAAACTTACTGTAGTTTGTTCATGTTTAATATCAATAAGCATCTACCTATAAGTATTAAATTATAGTTGTGTGGATAAACTAGGTACATTTATTTTTGAAAAACAAGATTTTCAACTCGCCTCCCAATGAAAAGGTTTCAAGACTTGGCTTGGACTTGGGACAAAATGCATTGTATTCTCTTTCACTATCATAAAATGTTATATTTCAAAATATCCAATCCTCATAAGACCAGCTGTAAATGGCTTAATGGAAGAGCATTTTTGTGATGACATGCTGAGGGCAGAGAAAAAGAGTAGGAGCTTCTTAAAGAGACGGAGACCATGTATGAGTCATATTTGATTTATATGTAATTTTTATAACAACTGAAAGTAAAAGTTACTGAATTGTGTTATGAAATTACACTGTATGCCTGGAAGATACACAATACCACCCCGTAAGGTCAAAAACTGTTTTAGCAGTGGAAAGATGATTTTCTTTGTATTGCTGTAACACATGTATTATGTACATATATAATTCATATTCTTAAAAAAAAACAATGCTAAACAAACAAAAAAAACCTGATAGTTTTAGATATCAGCTTTTCCATCTTGATAAAAGACGCCTGACCTCCACCGTACTGCACGATTTGGATTTGCATTGTGAGTGAGACAATATTCTATTAGGATTCATTAAAGCTTCTAGTAGGACATATTGTTCAGAGTGCAAAGATCTGCACCACTTGAGGTCTCCCTGCCCCCCCTCTGGCACGTGCCATCCCTCACCCTGCTTTGTGTTTGCACACAATAGACAAGCAATCCCTGATTTGTCCCTTAATATTGTATTCATTCCACTCACCATCTCAGTTCTGATGTTTGACTTCAAGCGTAGCCCACTCTTTTATTCTCACTCTTGCTGCTCCCCTGCCCCCTAAAGCCTCATTGTTGTCTATGTGTCTTTTGGGATGATATAAAGTGACCAGTGACATCCCACTGCAGCCGTTACCATGGTGATTGGTGACAGTGGGAAGCACCACCAAAGATGAATGGGTCATAAAAGTGGTAACAGAGCAGAAAGGGGTGAGCAGAAAAGAAAGGAGCCACACATTAGATGGGAGAAGAAAAATTAAATAAAGCAGGTATGTTAAATAATTGATGCACACCAATTATTCAACTCTGATGCAGACATTTAAGATGAGCTTTTTTGTTTTATATGCATATTAAAATGTATAAAAACTAAACAAAATGCTATGTTGATGCATCCCAATTAATGGAAGGTAAAATTTAAATCAAAGTATATAACATTCAGAATATAATCTCTTATCTGCCTAAATAATAACTTTGCTTTGTTTTAAGATTTCAAAACAAAAAAAAAGTGCTACTGGAACAGTTGAATATCTTGAGTTTATTGTTATGGAGAAAAACTTGTATTTCAAGATGGTTTCAAATATCCTGTGATATTTTCCAAGTATTAGTCCACGTATAAAAGAGTAAGATGACTCTGCTCTTGTATGAAACTGTTTGTAGTTCATTTTTGTAAGTCTAAATGAGGTTGTGTTTTATGGAGCTGCTCTTCTTGCCATGTGAAAAATTTTAGTTTTCTTCTATGATAGAATCTGTCACATCTGTAAAGCTATGTAGGAAGCTTTGAATGGGTTTTTGAGAAGAAAATGCATCATTTTCCCTGTGAGAATACAGCTGTCACATGCTATCATGTCAAACCTCGGTTTGGAAATCTCAGTAGGCAGGGGTGCTTGTATGTCTGAGGCTGTAAATGTGTCCTGCAGTTGTTCATCGCATACCGAACAAGTTCACTGTAGTAGAAAAGTTAAAAAGTAAGGCTTTGCTGTCATCACTTTTTCATGCTGTACCAACACATATACTTATATGTAATTAGCCCCTCTGACAAAGTTTTGAAAAACTCACATTTAGAAAAGATATCACTTGCAGATCTATTTCATGTCTTTTTTTCCCCTTTTTTATTGATTTCCTTTAATTCATTTTCAGCTACTACTGTTCAGTTTTTGGAATCGTTATCATTAACCCCCTCAACCTTTGGGTAACGTTTTCTCGATAGCAGACAAATACAAACCTAGTTTGGACTTATGCGTAGGAGAAAAGTTTATTTTATCAAGATAACAGACAGGAGAAAAGCCTTGAGTTTTATGGATAATAACAAAGAGTTTAAGAACATGTTTGTAAACTGGCTACCGTGAAGGCCCATCTGGAATGTACAAATAGTTATGACTGAAAGATTTTATTTGGGTTTCCATCTTTTTCAAAGTTTTTATAATATGGCAATAAGAAAATAAACTCTGCTTAATGTTTTAAAGGACCTAATTTGGATTAAGGTTGTTTTTAGATCTTTACATCTGATTTTCTTTTCATGTGTCATTATGATATAATAGAACATCATGCAGCAGAGCTAATCACAAAACACAGATGCTTTGGTCCAGGAATACTTCATGTTTTCAGATTGGTTCTGTTTAGCTTTTCTTAACTTTTCGGGTGGCTAAGCCATGACTGACAAAAAAACATTACCACCCAGAATATTTCTTAAATTCTTCGCTGTCTTTGCTGCATAAGGGGAAGATTTAAGGGGAATTATGTGACTATGGTCATAAGCTAGGTGAAAGCTTTCAGAAATATGTGCAAGGAGTCTTTATTTTATACTCCTTATAACAAAAGAAAATTTCATACTGTCTGTAATTGTAGTGTGCAAAGGTTTAGTAGTTCAGACACTTTTTAAAAATCTGGTTGTCTTTGATGTTGAAGTCAACTATTAAAATTAATTATTGAAATTACTCTTTAAAGGTATACAGGATGGATCAATATCAAGAAAATATCTGCAAGCTTTTAGTCTTAACCACCACAAAAACAAATCAAGCGTTTATGACTATAGTTTAGTCCACTTTGTAGCTTTATTTCTGACTTGTAATCATTGTATTGCAGCACAGAAATCACTGGTTGTTATGAAAAGTGGTGTTGAGCACTGATGATGAGCATCTGTATATGCATGTGTAAGTAATATGCTGACCGTTGGAAGACTCATGAAGTAAAATAGAGTATAGAGAACATGTTTCTATTTTAAAAAGGGTACAGGGATTTCATTCTGTGGTTTATTTGTATAAACACTGCCGACAGATTTCACTCTAACGGCTTCAACACAAGCTCAGAGAGGTGCGTGTTGTCACTGATGGCCCCCGTTTGAGATGCCTCCAGGATGACTCACCTCAGCACAGTCACCATCCTATCGCCGTCCAGCTTCTGAGAATAGCCTTTTCTTGCCCTACATTTCTTAGGATACGGTCAATAATCATGTTTATTGCATATCAGATGAGCCAGCACAAAAAATACCGTAGAATATTAAAATGCCAGACGTCAATTAAAGCTTAATCAATGCTTTAACGAAGCTGTGATCACTGTCGAGTAAGTTTACATCAAAACACCTGATCTCCACATCATTTCACATGCCTGCTCTAATTAAGCACAAGCCAGCAGCAGGGAAACGGTGTTATTAGCAGCATTAACTGCTGCTGTCGCAGAGGGAGTCATGTTGGAAGATGTTTTAGCTCTCCTCCTATCCTGGTGTTTCTTTTCACCTTTGCTTCCCACTAATTATCACTATTCTCTTCACATCTTCAGTCACATTGCGCATATTTCTCACAATCATGTGGCATGTCAAAATAGTTTGCTAGATTGAGCATTTCAGCACTGAATGGGGTCTTTCAGTGGCTGATGAGAGACTTGAAGATATTCTTGGGTTGTTTTTGGGATGCAGCAGTTGTCTTGTGATTTCTTAGATTTGTATGTAGAAACCTAATCCACAACCATTTGAGGGTAATGATCTCACAGCTCTAACTGTACAAACACATCAGTAAGCTAAATCTGAAACAATAACATATTGTATGTATGAAGTGGGCCAAAATGCAACCCAGAATCCCGGAGGTATATGATTAAAGTTGTAATAAAAATACAAAATAACTGTTTACAAACTGGGAAGAGAACATGCAGAACCAGTAAGGAATAAGTGAGGTGCATGAGAAAGAGAGGTAGTTAAATACTGGGAGTGTGATTGCTGGAACAATGTACCAAGACTAATCACTGAGTGCAGCTGTGGGAGTAGAGGAGAAGGCAAGCTGAGGGAGAGAGAAAGAGTTGACACAGGGAAGCAAGGAGAAGTAAACGCTAACAGTGGAACTGAGAAAACATAAATCAAAACTTGACAAAGAATATCTAAATGCAAGAAAAGACTGATCTAAAGAAAAACAAAGCAGATCAAAACAAAGAATAACTAAGACAAAACATGAATCCAAAGGATCGAAACTAAAAACCATCAAGAAACCCAAAAACAAGCTCATGACACGTGAAGTTGCACTATTTGATTCACCCAATAATGTATCATTACTAGTCCTCATTTGCAAGTTGAAATAGTCCTGGTAAATATAGATAATGCACAGCATTTTCAGCATTTTCTCAATCCATTAAGACTGTCTAGAAAACAATAGTGCCCACCTCAAGTGGTCTGATTTCTGTACACATATTTTGTTTTGCCCTTCTGTTTCTTCTTTTTTGTGTTCTTGCAAAAGGAAGAGAATTGATTCTGAAAACCTTGTAATGCAGCTAAATGTAATTAGCATGGCTGAGTGAATAGACAAAGTGCAGTGATATGTTAACAGATTGTATATGTTAAGCGATGAGCACAAGATTGTGTTAATTAAGTTAAGCTACTTGAATGCTTCCAGTTTGTAAACAAATGAAATTCATTCTTCTTTGCTGTAGTGCGTTACTTCTGGGTGGAAAGAATTTTTGCTTGGTGTGAGTGACGCATTATTCTTACATTTGTGCAGAATCAAGATTATAATTTTGTACTCTAATGAAATTTTCTCCCTATCTGCCCCATCTCCCTCTTCCATCTTCCTCCTATAGGTAGTGTCGTTGCAGCAAAACGATGCCGCTGGTTAAGCGTACCATCGAGCCCAGGCACCTGTGCCACACGGTATTGCCAAGGAACATCAAGAATGAGCTGGAATGTGTGACCAATATCTCCTTGGCCAATGTCATCCGCCAGCTCAGCAGCCTCAGTCAGTGACACTCATAAATACACTCATATCCTTATATTGGCATAAAAACGTCTGCTGCAGGTTTTGAAGAATTTAATAGAAAGCTCACTTCAGGAAAGGAAGGTCTATATTTTACAGAGCAGACACCTGAAGGCACACTGTTGTTTAACAAACCTGTCTACATCACACAGCTCCAAACGTTAGAAGTTGGCCTGCTCTACTACAGACACCCAGTCGTCACTTTGTTTCTTCAAATCTCAGTAAAAGGCTGTGACAGGAAGAGCAGCAAGGCTTGCGTTGATTGTGTTTGACAAAAGCATTTGAGTTGTCTTACCAACAGATCTGCTGTACATGTTGCAAACTACCAAGGTCTCCAGAGACAGTTGATAGTAACCATAACTGACAGTTACATATAAGCAAAAATGTTCTACAAAAGCAAAATGTTTTACTTCAAACAATAGAGTGAATGCTAGCTATTGGTTTAGACAGCAAGCAGTTGCCCCACACACTAAATAACTGCTCATATCTTCCAGTAAAATGTTTCTAACCATTTTATTTTGGATCTTTTGGAAGAGTAAAATTATTTCTTTTCCTCCTGTGTGTTTGCAGGTAAATATGCAGAGGACCTTTTTGGAGAGCTGTTCAATGAAGCCCACTCCTTCTCTTTCCGGGTCAACTCCTTGCAGGAGAGGGTGGACCGACTCTCCATCAGCGTCACACAACTGGACCCCAAAGAAGAAGAGTGTGAGTTTCATACCAATGTCAATACAGAGCCAGGAAAAATGACTAAAATCCCTTGAACATTGTCACATTTTTAAGCTTCATTTAAGTTGCCTTTCATGTATTGTACCACTGCAGTATAGTGCACACTTGTTAAGGGAAAAGGAAAAAAAAATCAGATGATTTGCATGCATTTACATTCAGTTCCTATGAGTCAAAATCATTCTAGATAGCTTAAGTTGTATTTTTGGGTGTGCCTCCATAACTATCCTGTATTTTAGCTCTTCAATTTTCTGTTCAACTCTGACTAGTTTCCTTATCCTTACTGGAAAGAAATGCACCCCAATATTATGATGCTGTCACCACTAAGTTCCTCAGTGGTGTTACAGTTTTAATTTTCTACCACACATGATTGATTTGAATGCAAGTCAAATTTTTCAGTTGGGCTACATCTAACTTGATTTTGTCTCTCCTAAATGGTTTGTAGCAAACTTTACCAGGAGCTTCTTGTTACGCAACTTTCTCCCTGACCTGCCTGCTGTGTTTCTTCATGTTCCTGCTTCTGATTATCGGTTCATAAAACAGCTGCATTTAAAGTCTAATTAAATTACCAGCTGGTAGACTCTGTTTAAATCAGGTAATTTCATATTAACTTTAAAGTTGTATGAGTAGGGGGCCTGAATACAAATGCTCACCACATGTTTTTTTTTGTGTGTGTGTGTTTGTATTTTTTAGTTTTGGGAAACCTATGTGTAATTTTTCTTCAACTTAAAGATGATATTAATGTTGGTGTTTGAGCTTAAAATTCCAAAAAAAACGAAATAATATATGCACAACTCATTCACTTATTCTTAAAAAAAAAAAAAAATCATCAGTTTTATTGAAATTAGCAGAATTTGAATATGTGAAACCCACATTAAAATGTTTCCTTCCTTTGGTTTTCCATAATATTTCCCCGGTCTGCCATGAGTTTTTAAGGCTCTTGGTGAAGGAACAAGTAGCTGTGAGATTTTTCAGCTGCCATAGTTGTAAAACCTTTGCTCCCCTTAGTAACATTGCTTTCGAGTTTCTGTTTGACTGGCTGCTCATTTACTTGATAAATGTGTTTTCCTTGTGTGAAGACGATCTTTGGGATCCTTGTTGTGAGCAATAAAAAGAAAATGCAATAATCTGTGTCTTCTGTCAAGTAAGCCAGGTTATCCTGAGAGAGGAGAGGCAGAACGACAAGATAGAGCATCGGGTAGAGTCAGCAGAGAATGTACAGCAAAAAACATGGGGAGAATCACAGCAGTGTAATACCACGCTTCAAGGCACTGTATCGATTTCCCATGGGCCTGCAGTGTGTTTAAGGCTTTGTACAATGCTACTTTAACTGCTTCCTTGTCACTGGCAAACAGTGAAATGCTCTGTGGCTATTGCCTATTTGAATGCATCCAGAGGCATCGGTAGCCCTTTTTCACAAGGCAATGAATTGTTTGAGATTTTGCACGTTTGCCTGTATCACTTTCCTTTCCCTTGTTTTGAGTCCCACAGGGATTCAGTTTAAACCAGAAAGTTGCATACTATGGCTGGAGGGGCCACAAAGCAATTTTTCTCACTGTCCTACGTTAAATCAAACTGAACATTTCCTGTTTTAGGTCATTTGTCATTAACAAAATAATTACTATTTTCTAAATGTCTCAATAAATGGAGGAAATTTATTATTTTCAGATGTCTAAACCCACTAAGGTTACAAACCATCACATTGTCCATGTTTTTGCACCAATGTGTTCTGGTGCAAAATATGCAAATCAACTTCCAAATAAAAGCAGAAGCTTATGTGAAGAGGCTGGCTGAAGTTGTCAAGGGAGTGTCACGAAATGCAAGTAAACTTTGGAGTTGAAAGAAAGTTTCTCTTAAAAAAATCTAACCAATATTCACTTGTTAATCTGGTGTATATAAATCTCAGATGTCAATTACAATTGTGATCTAGTTTTAGAAGTCTGGTTCACAGGGGGAATGTTGTACCAGTGTACAGATCTTTCTGAAGTGTTTGAATGTCAAGTACAGTATTTTAGATGCTCATATAAGTTTGAACCAAGTTGCAATAAGAGATTTGGATTTTTTTTGGCAACAATTTGTCTGTTTGCTTTTTATTACTTAAATATATCGAGCCACGGTGCTCCAGCGGATTTGTGCTGTTGCAAATCTATATTTTAAGCTTGGGTCTGCATCTGTGCCTGTGGTCCGTGCCTTTATCTGACTTCATAAATAATCCTGACTATTCCCCCTTCATTGCCTAAAGAGTTGGCTTTAGAGACTGTGGATAAGAATCAGCTCAGTTGCAGTTTAAGTGAGTGGTGGAAGAAGTGGGGGTAGAGGGGTGTCAAGAGGGAGGACAGTAAGAAAGATGGAAGGTTCAAGGGAAGGGTGCTTAATACAGGGCACTGCAGCAAAAGCAGTGGAGTGTAAAAGGATTGTACCGCAGACTTTTCTGCTGCTCAGACCTCAAACCTTCTTTATATTCTTTTATGGCCTGATAAAGTGTTTAAAATGGGGAGAAGAAAAAAAATCACACTTCATTTGTTGTTTATTTGAGTTTGTACAATCGTGTGACAATACAGCAGTCTGGCTCCAGTGGACTGAATTTCACACAAAGATGAACATCTGTGGGAGGGGTTCACCAGAGGGGTTGTTTCCAGTAACTGCCACCCCACATCTTCCATCTCAACCCTTTCTTTACCCTCACGCTGTCAGAGTGGATGCTCTTACTCTAAGACTCTCCTTGTAATTGTCTGTGTGGCTATGTGGTTGCCATGAGTGGAGGGGTGAAGGAGAAGGAGAATTGGTGCAAGCAAAATAGGGCCATAAATCAGGAACCTGGAGGGATGAAGATGGGAAGATGAGGGTCAGGTATAGGAAGGAGGAGGCTGAAAGAGACAATGGCTGTTTTATAGATGAACAGGCTGCAAGTCTTACAAAGTTCTTTGCAGCTGTAAAAGCTTAGATTATCACTTTAAAATTGATAAGTTACAAACCAACCCAATTTTATCTCTTGTGGCTGGAGTTGACTTTAATTTAAAGGTATTATGTAGAATAGCAGGAATCACTAATGTCCCTTCATTAGGTGTTTTTTTTTTTTTTTTTTGGAAAGCACGGGATTAATTCATTATCCTTACAACTCACCGTTTTTTTGTTTTGTTTTGCTCTGGCAGTACCATACGGCGACTACATGTAGTATTTATAATTAAGTTTCCAGGAGTTTTACCTTGCTCTTATATTATTATAGTAGCATCAGCATCACACAATTTAACACATTCATGTGGTGCACGTAGGGTGGAATTTGTTTTTAATTTTGTTTCTGTTCTTGATCTTAATAATGGAAGCAGTTTATCTGTCTCTCTTTAATGCTGTGCATCATAATCTTCGTACCAGGGTCTTCATCTAATCCAACTCTTTGATAGCTGATCTAAAAACACACACCAAACACATAGATTTATTGATTTTGGCCACCATCTTCATTGTTGTGATTGGTGGTGAATGTCTCGAGCAGAGACATTCCTGCACAAGCTGTCAAGCGTCTAGCTTTTCTAAAATCACCAGATATTCTTCACATAAAGTGGCGTAAAAGAAAATATTCAGCTCTCTATTTATATAATCCATAAAAAAGAAACTATGTTCGATATGTTTTCTAAACCACTTTATCGTATTAAATATATTGGAAGAAGAGGTTCAAGAATTGATTGTGTTCCATATTATTATGCACATGATATTTTCTCAAATGGTCAATGCAAATGATGGTCAGTATAATTTTCAAGTTATGAACTATTATAGTATAAATCAAATTTTACTGAACTAAGCTCCTTTATTCAAGAATAAAAAAATGCAAAATTCACTGCTCCAAATTATTATGCACAGCGGATTTTCTAAACATTTTATGAAGTATAAAGAACTGCAGTCATTCTTTGAATGTGCAGCATTAAGTGGTTACATGTATTAAAATCAAAATCTATTTCAATCAAAAACATCTTAACAGACCGACTTACATGTTAACATAGAATCCCTTCTTTGATATCACCTGCACAATTCTGGCACTAGCAGCTTCAAATAACTGTTTGCTGCTTTGTAAGGGCATTTTAACAGCTGCTTTCTTAATCTAATAAATTTGTCTAACAGAAACCTTCCTCATTATGCTTTTTTTCTGTACAAAGCCATCTTTGCTCGGAATCAGCCACAAATATCTTCACAGTACGATGATAACGCATCAGTTTTTGTTAAATATTTAATGTTTTCATATCTTGTCATAAGGCACTACACTATCTGATGATTTTCATCAGCAGAGATCCTTTCTCTTTCCCATATTGCTTGAAACCTGTGGCCTGCTTAATAATGTGGAACATCCTTCTTATGTAGATTTTCTTTAATTTAGCTCACCAGAAAAACTAATCAACCCAATTCTCTGAAGTTAATTATAGAGATTGAACACAATATTGTCTATAAATTTAATAGCACAACAAAAAATGTAATCTTTATGACACTTAAATCCAATTTGAATAATAATTTGGAACACGGTGCATGTGTAGTTACCCGTTGCGTAACACCAGCAGAAAATGTAGGAAAATATGTCTAAATCTCAGCAAACAGGCTGTGATTTTACTGTTTTTTGACAGGGAAACATTGAGATTGCAAAACAAATTTTATGTTAAAGCTTACTTATCACAATTTCCTTTTTCTTTTCAACATATTACTGCATGCCAACAATTTTCGGATAAGTAAAGAGAAGCAATTTGTCAGCAATTTATTTTGAGAAGTAGTTTGAATCGATTATTGTATGTGCAATATTTATACTTTAAGCTTTTTTGTGAATCATAAGAACAAACTTAAAAACATGTCTATCAGTACTTATAAGAACACTTAGCAATAACATTTCAAGATAGATTCTTTATTCTAAAAAAATTGTACTATTAAAAAGATTTCCGATGTAAATTTGATAATTTTTTTTTTTTTTTTTTTTGGAGGGGGATGATGCTAATCAAGAGATTAGAAACCAAAAAAATTACAGCATTTGATTTTGAAAGAACCTCATCTGGTTATGGATTTTCTCTTCAGGTGAAGCAAAGTAAAATTACAAAGCAAGGAGGAAACAGGGAGGATACCAGCATTTGTGGAAGCCAGTGCGGTGAAATATCCAGTGCTATTTTGAGGTGATTTGATTTAGACACCTATAAGGATGACAGTGTAACAATAAGCTGCTGTGGCAGGAAAAAATACAATGAACAAAGAGATGCCCTGCAGTATAAACAACACTGATGAAACTGTCAGCTTTTACTGAGGCTAAGACATCGATCTTTGTGACATATACCTGTAAGTACTGTTTGTAAGTTGACAGTAATGGCTTTTTCAAGATAAAACATAATTCTTTAACACCCTTTGGGTGTGTTAAAATCTGAGTGAGTAGCTCAAAATTAGGCATCTGTAAATGCATTCAAAGAAAACACAAAGATCTGACACACCCGGCTGAAATGGGTTCACTCTGCTGCTGAACACATTTTAACAAATGATTGAAGGTCACAGCATGGCCCACAATGTTTCATCCAGTCATCGAACCACAAGGGCTTTATCTACCCTAATAATTTATAACTGCCCAGTGTGACATGTGAAGAATGGATGCACAGTTTCTGTACTCTGCTGACCTTTCAAAGAGTATCACCCCTGACTTTGTCCTTTAGGATCCCACCCCCTCCTAGACTTCAATCCACAAACTACCTCACCACACCTATATCTGTTTTTTATTGTCCGCTCCAGCCTGCTCTCATATCTTTGATTGATCTCTGCTTTCCCTTCATCCTGCATGGATGCCATTTGTGTTGTGTCAGGCACTCTTCCCCCCTTACTTCAGCCAGCCAAACTAATGGCCTGTATCCACTACTTAATAGCACTGTTACATCACTGGACAGGCTGCAGGCCATTATGGAAGGCCATGAAGCCACACCAACCCCTTTGGGGCTCCAACGGGGTTGGTTTCTTTATCTACTGTCTTATTTTCTCTTTCAGTCCTTCAGGATATGTTCATTGCTGAACTTATCTGTTAAACGGTTTCTACTTCTGTTGCTGATGGTGCTTTTACAACATCTCAATCTTTTTTTATGTTCTTCGGGATATGCGGCTCTGTTCTCCTAATCTAATTCTGCATTCAGTCATTTCCGTTGAATTGACATACTTTTAAAAATGGTCTTTGGTTTCATTTTATCCCAGAAAATTGTATTTGGTGTCGTCTTAGTTTCCCCTTTGACAAAAAAGACGGCGCGCACAAAATCAGTTATTTGCTATAAGCCATGTAAAATTTCAGATAAGATTTATAATTCAGCAGTATAAACTTTGAGTCTCAGCTTACTAAAGTCATCAGGGGAGTTTTCTTTGTTTGAAACTTTAAGCAAGATTAAGAAAGGCGCTATTAACTTGTGGTTATGTCCTGACTTATGAAGGTCTGTAATTGATGATTAAATGCATCCCTATGGTTAGTTCGAATATGTTTAATAATATGAGAGACTTTATATTCCATTAACTTCGTAGAATAGAATATTATAGTTTAGTGTGGGAGGTCACAAGTTTGGTTTGGTTCGGTTTTTTTTAGAAAATAGCCATTGGGCTGCTGTTTTTGCAAATAATATGGAGCTTAAAAGCAGAAAATGAAGACTTTCATTTTGCAACTCTCATTATTTCTGCTCACCATGTGTTGAGTTTTTCATGCAAGTATCAGACCCTATGATATTCAGTGTATCTAGAATAAAACAACTACCTCTGCAACAAATGCAAAAACAAAGACAAGAGGCAAAGCTGAATTGAAGACTGAACCGATTCAAGGTTGCAGGAGGAAGTGTGCAATAGGCAAAAATATAGGGCAGCATTTGCATCAGAGTAAAACGGGAGAGAGCCGTGTCTGCATGGTAAAACTTGGCCTTCAGCTTTTCCTATCTGTTACGCTGTTTGTGCACTAGAACAGCTAGGAGATAGTAAGTATAAAGAAAGAGGACACCAGAGGAAAAACAAATCTGGAAAGTTTCTTTTATTGAAGCCAGGGGGTACATGTAGGTGACAAAAACTTCTTCACCTCACTGTAGCTGAAGGCTCTCAGCCAGATGGTATCTGTCTAAAAGTGGAAGATGCGTAGGCTAGAAATAAACTGTTTAGGACATCTTGTTGATAAGATGCATCCTGAGATCAGAGACAGCTGGAACACCTGGTTCTGCCTCAACCAGCGTGAACACTCATAGGGTTACTTCTGGATTTATGAAGACCTTTGTCCATGTTAAGCATACCCTACGTACTTAAGCTAATTTATTCAATTAATACACTCAGTCCCCTTTGCAGTATCCTTGTCTTGGGCTACTTATCAACATTTCTTCTTTCAATCTAAGCTAAAACAGGCAGCTTATAGCTGAGTTAAATCTTATGCTAAGTAAAAGATCTTTTCAACATATTCGTCTATGTCTGATGCCTCGATGTCAGTCAGTAAATATTTAAAACCATCTCATTGTGCATCAATCTCAGAACTGGGTGCTCACTTTTTTGCTGTCTCTTATTTCGGCCTACTTGTTGCACCACGTGACAGCCCAGGAAGTGTCTAAATCCATCTGAGCAGTGTGCACAGCACTTTCTTCTCTCAACACTAACCTGTCAGAAACCTTCTGCTCCTTATCCTGCCAGGAAATTCTGTATCTATGATATAGACCAAGCTCATAGAAAATAGTTTCACCAGAAGTGGCAGACAGAGCATAGGGAATCCTGGCATCAAATCCTCTCTGAGAATGTATTTTTGGACATTTGTGGGTAGAGAGTGAAAATTTATGACAAATATCTTGTACCATGTTGGTCTTTTATTCACCTTTTTTTTTGTTTGTAGTTTTCCCACCTTTTGAAACAGAAAGAAAATTAAATTTCTGTCTTCTGCTACCCCTTCATTGTGTTCCAGGTAGATCTATGTGTAGGCATGAGAAATCTCATTCTTTCTGGTTGTTTTCCATCCCTGGGTCTCTTTTTTTTCTGTTTAATGGCTTTTCAGTCCAATCCACCCTCTGGCTATGTTCAGCTTACAAGACTTATCCCAAGAGAAGTTCATATGTTGCTGTTTTTGTCATTAAAATTATGTATCTGTATACACTACTCTGGTATTTACTTGCACATTACTTTCCATTTCAATTTATGCAAATATTTCTGTCCTTCCAACTCATTCCTGATTGCTATCTGTATACTGTCTCCATAATCTTGTTTATCTTTTCTTTTTTTTTTTTTTTTTTAACTTTTGTCATGTTATGTTCCAAACTTCTGGTACTGTTAAATCTCTCATGTCCATGCTTCAGGTGGCTGATCACTTACTATGCTGAGTCTGCAGAAGTGATTTTCCAGATGAGCAAGCTGAACTGGCTTTAACTTTTTAAAATTTTGTCATATTATAGTAACAAATGTCAGTGTATTTTGTACAAGATATTTCATGCATAATTGAAAGTTGAAAGAAAATGATATATGGTCTTTTTTTTAACAACACACAAATTTTACAATTTTGCCATGCATTTATGTCCAGCCTCCATGTTTTTTGGGGGGTATGTCTTTGCTGCAGGAACACAGAATGTTTTTTTCTGATCATCACAAGATTAAAGACAGGGCATCTGTGAGTTGCAATCTTCAAGTCCAGTACAGATTCTCGAATGGATTTTCATCAGTTTTGGTCCGACATCTTGACATTGGCCTCTGTCTCTTTAAGAACCTTGTATCCTTTCCAACACTCCTCCCTCAGCATGTCATCACATCGGTGCTTCTCGGACCGGCTGTCTGATGATGCCGGTTTCCATTCACACACGCTGTTGGCGCCGCTGCCATGCACTGGCACCGCTATGCCCTCTGACCACCATCAGCAAGGCAAGGAAGGTGAAGTGTCTTGCCCAAAGACACAACGATGGAAACATGCAGAGCGGGAGTCAAACTGGCAACCCACCGATTGCAGATTGAACTCCTACCACTGTCGCCACCGTCGTCTCATAGCACATATAATCATGATAAAATACGTACAATAAAAAAAGTTATAGGTGAAATTGTTAGCTTTTGTGTGGTGAAATCATGTTTATTTTGGTCTTTAAATTGATGTTGTCACTCCTCAATGCTAGCCTGCTAATAACAGGGAACTAACGGAATGATTCTAGGCCTGCCACACTCCTTCTGTCCTCCCCTGGGCTGCACTGTCTATTTGTCTCTCCCTCATGTATAATTCACATATGGTTGCAACATTCTGGCTTTTCTCTCAAGACTTTTGCTTTCCACATCAAGAGTTGCCTTTAGTGGAGTCCCCTTCCCTACCCCCACCTCCCTGCTCTTCAGGGCATTTTTTCCTACTTGTTCTTTCAAGAGGTTCAGCTGAGCGTCATTGATTTTTTGTTTTTCTTTTTTCTGTCTTTACATGTCTTTTTCTTCCTTCATATGAAGGAAAGGGAAAGTAATTAGCTTATCTTAGTCATCAAATTTGGGTTTCCTCAAGGGGAACTGAAATGAACCTCGAAAATGCGGCAGTAACCCAAAGGAGGAAGGAGGACGAGTTGTTTATGACGCATGTTTGTGCTCTAATGTCAATACAACTGATGAGAATGCTGATGGAACAGAACCAATTGATAATCACAAGCTCATCAGTGACGTTCCTGACAAGCTTATATGTACCAAAGACTTGAGAGCAAGGTTCATTTAATAAGTGAAACCCATAATTTCCCCATTACCAAGCGCCCTCCATTTGTCCTGTCTCTCTGCAGTGTCTCTTCAAGACATCACTATGAGGAAGGCCTTCAGGAGTTCCACCATTCAGGACCAGCAGCTGTTTGACCGCACGTCTCTGCCCGTCCCTCTGCAGGAGAGCCTCCACACCTGTGAGGAGCCACCACCTCTCAACATCCTCACACCTTACAGGTCTGAATAATGTTGTTATGCACAAAACCACATTTCACCTCATCAGCGTCGCCAGCATGAAGCTAATTAAATTGACTTTAACTGTTGTTTTTTATGCACACTCTGCAAATGGTGTAAATGACTAATGAGTGTTAACGGTCACAGTGTTAACACGTAGAACTCAAATGACCTTGAATAGTAAACAGTGCTCTCTGTTTTTTTTTTTTTTTTTTTGTTTTGAGTTCCTTCACTCTTCAAAACATTTCTTTATCTCACAGCGTGAACTTTTCGAACCACAGAGAGCTGCAACCTTGAATGGTTAAGAAGTTAGTACAGTTGCTCAGATCGCATTTTTTTGAAGCGCTTCCCGTCACAAGGCCTGAACATTATTGCAAAATAGTTTCCAGATTTATAAATATTTAGACTACCTCGTGTTTATCCCATTTGTGTTTATGTCTTTGACTTTAAATCTGGTGAACTTCCCTGAATACAAAACTTTCTGAATCCATGAAGTTAAGCACTGTGTTAAACACTGTGGGTCTTTTAAGATAGCCAGATGTTGCTTAAAAATGTTGCTTTAAAAGTTAACGTCTGTTTTTTACTTCTTGTACTGATAAGGTCCTAGTTGACTGAGATGGAGATGGCTTCATAAATGTCGCTGCTTTCTAGCAATACTGATCAATTGAGATGGTTATATCATGGCATCTATTTACTGGAATATTGTAAATAGATGCAGATTGCTATAAGAAGTGTGATTTGTGTAATTAAATTGTCTCAGAATAAACCAGAGGCTGTAATTCTGTTAAGGCATTTTTGTTCTTGTGGAAGGAGTCTTATTCAACGTTTTTAAGCCATCTCCTTGGGTTAGTTCTTTTTTGTTGCTAATATACTGTGTGATCAGACTACGTTATCTTGGCTATATTTCAAAAATTTAGCCTGAGAAACGAAAACAAATTGTGCCTTTGTGACAGGCTGCAAGTGCTCAAAAAGCCAAATTAAATAATGTCCTGTATTTTATGTTTCCATACAACACTGGCTAATATTTAGAGGGGTTTTTATGCTTAGAGGTCAATGGCTTAGCAAACCAAAAATATGTGGTTTATGTGGGGATGGAGGGTGCCAAAAGTCCAAAAGAAATATTTTTTTTGAAACTTTTAGAAAAGGCAAAAAACAAAACACACACAAAAAAAAAACAATATCACTACAAAAGATGTACTAAATCTTGGTTTTTGGAAACAAAATATGGAGAAATCAGGGATGATTTTAAATTTTTTGCACATTCCAGCATGTGACCTAGTTTTCCGCTATGATGTTCATGGTTGATGCTCAGTGGAATTAATTTTCTCAAATTTTCTCCAAGTTTAAAAAAAAACACGAAGTAAAAAGAAACTCCATTCAAGGACAGAATCTCTGTAATTATAAAGATCACAATTTGCTATGTTCTACTTTTTGGTTTTCTCTGAGTCCGTCTGAATTTTAGTTCCCAGCTCCTCCTCCTGAGCTGATTGGTTCATCAGTGCTGAATGGATGATTGGGCATATCAGGGGTGATGATTTTATGCGTTTGATTAATGATTCAAAGTCCAACTTGAATTTTTGTCATCTTCCTAGTTCTATTGCTGTTCATTAATTCATCCCATCTCATCCTCGTCACCCACTGTCTTCTTTTCTTTCTATTTTCTACTTTTTTACACCTTGAATCTCTGTTGGAGGTCTCCCCAGGGTCCCATTCTTTAGATGGACCCAGAACCTAGTTTCTATATGTATGATCCTTTTTATTCCTCCTTCTTATGCATGACCATGTAAACACACAATCCAAACTAAATAAATCATTACGCTTTGATGTTTTTAGTGAGTCAAATTGTACCTGCTGCAACACAAACCCTCACTAAACTGGTCTCCCCTCTGTTCTCTCTCATCACTTTGTTAAATTCAATTTTGTTTCCTTTGTTGTGCTATGTATCATTAAACTTTCCACTCCTGCCGTTTGAAGTGGAGTCTTTTCATCTTCTATGTGTTCACTCTTATTGGTGTCATTGCCATATAATTGCCTCCCAAGACGAGGCCAAGGCTGGATATAGGGAAATACTCGCAGATTAAAGTTTCAACGGCCAAGAAGCATTAAGATCTTTCCTTTTTTGGATCTCAAAAACAGGCAGCAGTGTGCCCTCCAGGCTTGTCCAGAAAATAATTTTAATATAGTGAAAGATGAAAATACACCAGAGAATTAAACCTATCTTCCAAAGTGTTAAAAAATGACACCGAAGATTATTGATCAAATCATTAAATCATGATAATGTTTTTCTGGTTTTCAAGTTAAATTGTTCTTAGCCAAGTTATTTGAGACTGACCATGTTTCTTCTTGAAGGAATTTATTATTCTTTCTCAATCCATTAACGCATCAATTTTCATCTATTCAAGATCCGGATTGCAAAAGTAATGGGTAACCCAGACATTCCTCTTCCCAGTTATAATTCTTTCCAGCTCATTCTGGAGGATGTTGAGGTATTTCCAGGCTGGAAGTGAAACATTTTTGCCACTGATTTTAGGCTTTACTCTGGAGTCTCATCCCAGTGAGACATGGCTGGAAATCCTGCAAAGGAGATCTTCACCAAATACCTGAACCACGCCAGCTAACTTCTTTTGATGTGAAAAAATAGCAGATTTTCTTTGGGAACCCTGAGCTAAAATCTCCATTCTTTTCCTATGGAAAATCAGAGCAGCACCAGCTTGACTGCAGACAATACCAGAGACAAAATTTGTGCAAGGTCACTGCACAATTATATGCTCGATGGTCAGGTAGCATAAGGCTTTCTAATAAGCCTAGAATTCAAATTGTACATAGAAAACTAAACTAGAGTACTTGATAATAAAGTTGTGTTTATACACTTATCATGGTTTACTCTCTTGAGGAAATAAAAACATAAGTTAGACTGTAAGCACAGTGCACTGCACAACTAATGTGCATGTGGCCCTGCTCTGCTCTGCTTCTATCAGTCACACACCCCTGTGGATTTGCACTTTAATCACTCTTCAGTTACAAGCAACAAAATTGAGATGTCAAACAAAAGCTAAAAATGGAATAAGTTAAGCTTCTTACTTAAACGGTGGTATAAAAACCAAAACAGTAAAAGTTTGGGCCTCTAATTAGAGTTAATTAGTTGTGTTGGATCAGAAAATGGGTTAAATTTTTCAAAAGAAATTGCCCAACTTGGACAAGTTGGATTTTTTTAAGCGTGAGCTAAACTCTACGCAACACCTCTTCAAGGCAGTGTTTCCAGATTCAGAAACAACTAAATCATTTACATGTGGAAAAGGTAAAACCGGAACATTTTAAAGAGAGGGAGTGAGTGCCATGCATGGAAAAAAAGATGGAGGCTTTGGAAGCTGAGCTGCAGGAACTGAATGACAAAGATGTTTATTGTGGTGTCCAGCACAATGATGCCTGAAATAACAAAATTTAACAGTATTAGGAAAAGATAGAGTGACAAATGCATTGAGTTGAAACATGTTGAGGCAGAATTGGAAGGAAAAATTTGGCAAACTAAGTTACAAGCCTTGCTCTTTTGTTGGAACAACATGAAAATGTGTAATAGTTTCTGTATTTGTCTGTGGAATTAAATTCAATACAAACTTGTGGACTTTTTTGAACCTGCTTTAGAGGAAATCAACCTCAATGGTAAAACAGTCTCTCTGATTATAAAGGTCTTTTGATGCAAGTTAATTATGATTACTTTTTTTTCAGTGGAAACAGTGATTGACAGAAAAAGATAGTCGGTGGGAATCATTCACATTTAAAACAACAATTCTGCTATTTCAATTCGTTTAGAATAACAGGGTGTATATCGACATTCCTGTCTTCATTAACACTTACCTCAGATAAACAAGAAGATCATTGAAGTGATGCTTACAGCAGACTTTTTTAGTCTGCTGTAAGCAGACAAAATTTCGCAGATTAACCCGACGTAATCCGTCGGGTTAAAAACTTAAAAGGTTTTGAAAATTTCACATATAGGCAACAAGCCCATGTCATAGCTCCACAGAAAAAGATGTGACGACTTTGCTTTTGTGTATCTGCAGGGATGATGGTAAGGAGGGTCTGAAGTTCTACACGGATCCGTCATACTTCTTTGACCTGTGGAGGGAAAAGATGCTGCAGGACACTGAGGACAAGAGAAAAGAGAGGAGGAAGCAGAAGGTAAGTTTCCACTTTGACCATTTTTTTTTTCCATATTGCCGCAGTAGATTAAATAGTCTTTGTGGAGTAGTGAAGTTTTTAATTAGAATGACTTTCAGTGATTGAAGAGGCTTCTTGTATTTTCTAGCCCTGCATGAATTTATCGACAGGGAGACTCACTAATAGATTTGCAGCTCTGATTCATACCGCATTGCCTTTTCCTTTAAATATTCACCACTCATAGATAAATCAAAGGTTCCCTTCGTCAGCCCCGTTAGTTATTACTTGTGTGATCATTAGATCTAATTAATGGGAGCATCTGCTTCTTGCATGCCCCCGCACTGTGCGTCATCTTTCTGCCTTCTGCTGACATGCATGAAGAAGGGTTTCCAATCTGACTAGACTTTTTTTCCTCTGACAAAATCAGATTAAATGAAGGGTTGCTGAAGTATTTGAAGAAGCTTTGGTCTCTTACCGGTTGCAGGAGCTCAAAACCCAGGGGTTTCCCACCCTCTGCACCAGGAGCGCTAATCAACTCCAGCTTGCGGTTCCCTGCGTGGGAAGTGGCTTCCCATTTTGCCCCTTGCAGTCAATCAGAGCTTATTACAGTCATGGTCAGCAAGAAGCAAAGCAAATGTTTTTGTTTTTTTTCCACTGAGGGTTTATATGAGCACACAGGATATAAATTGGACGGTTATGAGGTTTTTTAATGAATGTGGGAAATGCAACGAGAGGACGGAGAAGTTTCTCCAGGTCTGAGGGTAAATGCAATGATTTACCTTCCTGTTGATCCATTTAATGTATCTTAGTCTGCCCTTATGTTTATTTTCTTCAGTGCCTGAAAAGCAAAATTGGAGGTAATTTCCAACAGTAGGTGAACCCCATTTGCTTTAGAGGACTGGGTTGATGTCACTGCTGGAGTCAAAGCTCATTTCTCTGACTTGATCCTAATTAAAGCCCCGGGTGGGCTCAACATATAAAGCCATGTTCATTTCCCCTCCTCGCCGCAGTGGGAGGTGGTAGTCAGAAAGACCCCATGGAAAGACCTGCAAGACATTCACTGGGTCAAAATGGACCAATTGGGAATTATGTGCGCATAGCTGGTGGTTTGTGTAGCCATCATGGTGGGTAAATGGTCAGAGTGAGGGTCAGTGCAAATGCGTAGTAGAGAGTCTTTCACAGAAAGCATTCAAAATTACTCAGTAAAAGAGAGATGTGAGAAATACAAAATCGCATTGTTTGAATCTAAGGGTGTTGACCTTACACTCTACTGCTTTTATCTTAGCACGCCTTTCAGCCACTGCAATTAGTTTTCTTGTGACTGTTTTGTACTCCATTTGATTATCTTAGGAGACTCCAGACACATTTTTTAGTAGCATCTCTTGAGTTGTTACTTTAGACCGCACATAAACAGCATCGCAGGGGCATGACTGCACGCATGAGTGCCTAAAAAGATCTAATAGACTATGATGTACCATGCAGCTGCAGTGTCAGGGACCTGAAATGCCTCAACACCTGTCAGTCACTGTGATTGCATCCGAAACTGGCTGCCAGCACATTTAATGGCACACCATGTTCCAGCTCTCTTATTCTTTATTTATTTCACCAATTCCTCTTCTCAAAATTTAAAATGATGAGCCAAGAAATTGTACTCTTGTGACAACAGCTGCGTGACTGTAAATTCCCACCTTTCAAAATAACATTGAATGCTTCAGACAACAAAAATGGGTTGCATTGTAATTAGCTTATGACACAAACAGCACCAGGGTTCATAACATTGATATAGTTTTCATTAGAGTTTACAGATGAAAAAAATAGATATATGAAGAAATACTGATATCAACTATCTGAATAATGAAGTAAATATACATGCATGGTTTCACAGTTAAGAAGATTAGCATCTCACTGTTTTGTTCAAAAATGAGGGGGGGAAAGGAGCAAGAGATTGATAGACATATTGGTTCATCAGCTACAGTGGTGCAGGCACCATACTGTGTACTGTGGTGTAGCGAGAGCTGAAACCAAAAGGCGAAGCTCTCAATTTACAAATAGATCTATGTTCCTGCTCTCTTCTATGGTCATGACTGAAAGAAGGAGACTGAGGATGCAAGTAGCTGAAATGAGCTTTTTCCACAGGGTGTCCCGGTTCTTCTTAGAGGTAGGGTGAGAAGCTCGGTTGTCTGGGAGGGACTCAGAGTAGAACTGCTTTTCCTCCCTACTGAGAGGAGCCACATGAGGTGGCTCAGGCACCTGGTTAGGATGCTTCCCGGTCGCCTCTCTGATGAAGTGTTTTAGGTGCACCCCACTGGGAGGAGACCCAGAAGAAGAACCAAGACACGCTGCAGGGACTATGTGTCTCGGTTGACCTGCGACAGCCTTGGGATTCCCCCAGAGGAGCTGGCCCGAGTGTCTGAGGAGAGGAAAGTTTGGGTCTCTGCTTAGGCAGCTGCCCCATGAAATCAATCCCAGATTAAGCAGAAGATGATGGATGGAAGTACAGTTAATTTATGAGATTGGAATATACAGTTGTGGTTAGTGGCAATAATGTTTTGGACACTTAAATCTGGTTTGATTTGAAATATTTTGACAGATTTATTACTAAAATAACACAAGTTTTCTCATTAAATGCTGTGATTTGACATTAAAACTTCCTAATGAGGGTGTGCTGCAGTTGTAATTGTGAGTTACATAAAATTGAAAATAAAACAGGTGTCACATCAAAAATGTAATTAGCTAGCCTTATTGCTAGTAAATAACTTAGTCAATGTAAATATTTGTGCGAATGTTGATTAAGTCATTGAAGACAACAGCATGAAAACTGCTGAATAATTAAAAAATGATTGCAATCATTAAATTACTTTTCCTACTAAGCAGACAGCGAGACTTCCATGTCATTTTTTTTCTTAGCACTCCTTCTCCTTTGCAACCAGCTAATTTCCAACCAAGTCACTTTACTGATAGTTAGTCTGAAACCGGATTTACGTTACCCACAGACACAAAGCGTTAAGAGCCAGTAATAAATGAGAAACAGCACAGGACAGAGCGAGGAGCTGAGACGGCTGCTGTGTCCTAATCTCATTAGGTTCTGTGTTAGCCTCATCCTCAGTGGATTAGCAGCAGACGAACTGCTGAGTGAGTCAGAGAAAAGAAAGATGCTCAGAGTCAAGTGCTCAGGATGGACTGAGAGAAGAATGGCTGGTGAGAGCAGGAGGACAAAGATCATATTCAATCTCCTTGACTTCAGCGTTGAGGTGCAAGTTTTTTGTTATGTCCGTCTGACATTTGAATCGCTGCTGAGCTTCCCCTGCTGTTCCTTTCTGATTTCCAATGTAATATAGACATCTCTGGGAACCTAATGGAATATACTAAAATTGTTTTCGTTCCCTGAATTGACTTTCACAAGAGACAGACGTTTTCTGCAATTGGGCCATCATTAACTAAAAAAAGCATTTGCCAGCTATCATTAAAAGTGGCTGCCAACTGTTTTCTACTAATGAGCTTTCTTTCTGCATAATTATGGAAGAATCAAATTTTTTACTTAAGGTAAAATTACGATTTTAGTGCGTAGTTACATCCAGTTGGATTGCAGTTTAACTGGATGCATATTAAAATACATTTTAATTTTGTCTTCTATACATCTGCTCACATCAGCATCTTGTTGAATCTTTGAAGAAATTGGTTTCTGCTCTAACCTGCATTTAACAGCCTTAACATAAAAATAATAATCTTGTAGGAAGCAATTATTTGAGCTGGTATAGCTTGCCTCTTTGTTTAGTCAGAGCACACATAACCAGGTGTTTAGTTTAGACTTTGCGGTAATTAATAATCCCCGATTTCCTATTTTGAAATTAAAACAACTAGAACCGTAACAAAAGTAAAGTGAAAATAAAACCATCTAAGAATAAGCTACTGCAGTCATACCAATTAGTAGTAAGGCGTTTCACACAACTTCTGTCATGAAATTCTACTTGATAAAATATCTGGTAAGGCTATTGTTAAAAAAAAATGACAATAAGGAAATTAAATGTGCTAGTTTAGTTTTGCTGATGCTTTTTCTCTCCCATGCAATTATAAATTAATCTCAAAATAATGTTGGACTATTAATCATTAGTCGTCGGGAAGTCTTTTCCTTTTATTAATGGGTAAGCTTGGTGCAGTCATGGTGATGAAAATTATTATCCTCCTGCTGTAGAACATGGATGGGAATCATTCATATCAGCTGAACAATAAAATTCTGGTAATTAAAATTATGTCTCAAATGGTTTGTGATATATTCAGACATCTGAACAGAGCAAGAAAGGCTGTTTATTTAATCAAATACATGCACTACAATGTAGTTCTGAAAATATTCTCAACTGTTAAAGAAGTTTAGGATACAATATTTTATTATGAGCACTGAAATGTGCAGACATTGATTTTGTCTGCTGTGTGATGATCTTTTATAGAGTAGACATCAATCTCAAACCCATATGCTGCCCAATAGATAATTTCATATACTCCATATAGCATAATTCACAACAACAGCCTTTAAGGGGGTAAACAAACTACAGTTTTTGAACACACATATGAAACAAGTGATATTGCTTTATGCATTGGAGAGGAACAATAAATCAAGTCAGTACTTCTGTGTTTCCCTGTGAAAATTTGCAGTTAATTCATACTGTACTTTGCTAACTTTGAAGCACAAAGAGAACAATGTCTGAACTGATGGATAATCCATTCGATGTCACCGTAGAAAAATCTCATGCACACACTTATATGGAGCTTATTCTGTAGAACAGCAGTGTAGCACCACACTTAAGGCTAATAAAAAAATTTAGTTGGTCCAACACAGTTTTCTGCTTTCACCCCAATGACGGTCTACAGCTACCCCTCCAAGCTGAATGTGGTGTGAGTGTTTGGCAGCGTAAAACAACAGGCATGTTAAGATTATTGTGGTACAAAAATATGTCTTTTGCATTGCTTGTGCATGTGTGTGATTTTATACTTCTATTATGTTCAAAATAAACAAATAAAATAAGATGCTGCACAGAAGCAGTAGGATTGATGGACACCTTCAAAGTTGCCCATTCTAAGTTTCCACCACTAAGACTCTAACACCAAACATTGTTGAGCTTGTTGCAAAGAGGAAGTACTTGAGAAAAAGTGAATTTGTTGAACTGTAAAAATTTCTAATTATTTGCTGAGATGCATAAATATTCAGTGGTGTAATTTGTCACCGCTGACAGATGGACGTAAATCAATATATAACAAATTTTGGAAAATTGTTTCACCTAGATACATTAATTGGCTTGAGATGCTCAAACGATTGTCAGTTGTCTTTTTAATTTCTTCCTCTCTTCACCCTAAAATCATGTAAAAGAAAAAATTAAACCTTACACATTTTGAGCTCTCGATACTTTAACCAGTTCAGTTTCCATGTGTTTTTTTGTTGTTTGTTTTTAGTGTTACTGTTAGTGATGTCTCACACCACAAGGCGACTATGTGACAGTTATGAGGTATCAGTGGTTTGAAAAATAGCCTTAATTACTGCTTTCAGAGCGCTCTTCGCCTATTTTCTTTCCTTCCAATCTTTTTTTCTTTTTTTTACCCTTTTCTGTATCTAACTCTGTGCAGCTGGAAATGCCTTATCTTGTGTGCCCCAAGAGTCTTATAAGAGTACTCTCTGAAACCCCTCCTCCTTTCCTTACTCCCCCAGAGGTAAGACTGTCTGCCTTCTCCTCACTCTGTCAGAGCATCTGCTTCTTGTGCAGCAGCCTGCAGCCTTTACAGCCTTTACTCTCCAACCACTAACTGCCACTAATTTCCACTCCCCTACCACAACTACCCACTACCCCCTCTGCCTCCACCTTCTGGTTTGCTCCCAGCAAGCAAGCTGCCCACTTTCAGTCTGACACTAACAGTCTTTCAGCACACCTGCATCCCAGTCCTACCTTTGGGATCGCCAATATCTGGCAGTTCCAGACATTGATTGCTGTCTGTGATTAATCTTCCATGATGTTATCAACATTGTGAAGGCACAGTATGCAGAGAGCTGTGGCCTAAACACAGCATACCCCATTATTTTATTTTTAAAAATGACTATTTCACATTTCAGTCTCAAAGTAAAGAAAAGTAAATATTGGTAAAAATCCGAAATGTACCTTTATTTGTTATCGATCTTGGACACTTAATGGTCAGAACATGCAATGGTGTATTTGGGATACGGTCAGTAGATAAACTCATTAGAAACAACGAGTGAATTCTAGCAGATTTTTATTTTGTCAAACTAACTTTCCGCCCCGTTTTGCTATCAACGTCTTCCTGCCTTTTGGTTTTCAGAAAAACTAACATGAAATAGTGATTTCTTCTTCTGATCACATTTCCATACCGCTCCTTCCATATTTACATTAAATCTTGAAATGTTTTTTTGTTTGTCCGTTCTTTTTTTGCACTTCCCGTGTCTTGTGCCCCACTTTATGGTGACAAGGTTAACTCGAGTCCTATAGTCTTATTTTTTGTCACAGTCCCAGCTGCACAGGTTTAGGTGAATAACTACATGGAAATCTTAACTAAATCATCACTTGAAGAAAAATACGCACAGTTTTCTTATAGTCATTTTACAAGAAACTATGAAGTCATGAATTACTCTTAAATGGTTTTAATGTATAATTAATGTACCAATAATTGTTCAGCCCTCACTATAAATTACGTTCTATGGGAAGATATACACTCTATTTACAGTTTGATAGAACTGTAAATATCAAAAATAGAACAACCTAGAATGCTTATCCCAAATATTATTATACATAGTTTTTCAAAACTAAAATGCAAATCAACATCTTCTTGACAAGTATCTTTAGTAATTAGCTAAATGATTTATAGCAAGACAGCAGTGTCTGGCAGAAGAACTTCACAAAAATTCAGATGCAGAACTCGGAGGTAGATCCTCCGTACTGCTGTGTTTGTCAGTGCAGCAACCAGTTTCTGTCCAATCACACAACATATGTCCAACAGCGTGCAGAAAAAAAAGCTCTGTGCAGAAGAAGTGTTGAGATTCAGCTACAATAACTACATCGGAACTGTTTTTGGTCTGTAGTTGTTTTTCATGCAAAATAATGTTGCTGTCAAAAGTCCAAGTACACAAGATGTTCAATTTCAAGATCCCCTAATGGGTGTACCTGAAACCAAACCTGATTTCTAAATATTCTCTTTCATAAAGAATTTTTTAGAATCAGATAACTTTTAGACTGCTGTAGTCACCAAGGATTTTAAACTGAATGTACATATGAATTTGAAGTGCTCAAAACAGTTTTACATTTTGATAATAAACAAAATTTTTAGTGGGGATTGAAATATTTCAGGTGTACATTATCTGTATATTTATTTCCCATTCCCGCACTTAATAAATGTTCTAAAAAAAAACAAGTAGTCACTGTGACACTCTACAACTACAAAAACAAGAAGTTGTTAATATATTTCCACAGTTCTGTATGTGTGGAGGATGCTGTGGATCAACCTGGAGCTTTCTAATAAAAGTTCTACCAATGGTTGTAGATCTTTTAATTGAAATATAACTCAGTTGAAACCCAGCAGATCAGCAGCAGCTGTCCGGGTTTATGTTGTGTTATTGTCAGCATCGAGGTGGTCCAGTGCCTGCATTCCTCCCCAGGCCTGCTTTAGGGGGGTGAGATAGCAGCAGTTCTGCTGAGTCTGTCACTATTGTATACATGAGCACAAAGCCGTCCGCACGCCTGTAGTGTGGGTGCGTATGTGTGCAGAGATTCTCAAACACACAGAAATGCATAAATCGAATTGCTGTGTCTCACAAGTATAGCTCTCTCTGTTATTACCCGTCCATTCTTGTGAAAGATGACAGTTCATCTGAGCCACAAAGCTCCGTGAAATTGGCTACATTTAAAACTAATGTGACAAACGTTCACACGTATGTGGATACACTCACACGAAACGTATTTTTTTCTGTTGTTTTCGCTCCTCTTTGTTGTGTCTCCAAATTTTGTCACTCTTAATGCAGCTATAAAACTTGCACTATAAAACTCCACACATAACTTACAAAAGCTCGTCTTACACTTGAAGTGTTACTGTCCATCTGTCTGAAATTTTATATCTGATTGCAAAGGGTGAACACTGGAATAACCGTCTGTTTTTGACATACAGTTTTCTGTAGAACATAAAGCACATGACAAGATGGTGCATGTCTGAGCTGTGGGTTTGTATGTGTGTTTTGAACACAGAGACTTTCCTTCAGGAACCACCCCATCAGTTGATAATGTGCAATGATAAATGAGAACCTAATCAATATGCATTAGGAGTGATCCCTGCACTCCCTCGTAGCACGCTAGCCACTGCAGTGGACGGACAAAGTCAACATTATTTAGCTTTAGCAGAGAACTGCTTGTCTTCAGCCCATGCCGTTGAATCATCCGCCTGTCAGATATCGTGCTTCATTGGAAAATCTACACAGTTATTAATTAGGCACGGCAGGCCAAAGATCGAGTAGAATTTAAACGCAATAATAAATTGCGGACAATAAAACCACATTAAGCTACTTCATGTATAGTGCCTCACACATGTTAACTTTTTCATATTTTGTCACTTCACAGACTCAAACTTCAGTGGACAGTGATTGCACTTTTTGGTGATAAACCTACACAAAGCAGTGAATAATTATGGAATGAAAAAAAAATAAAGTTACATCCCTTTTTTTAACACTACCTGAGAAGTATGGGGTACATTTATGTGTTGAGCATCTTGTGTTAATCCTTTATGGCCCATTTTTTTCTTTGCAAGATAACTCATAACTCATATTTGCTCCACAGAGTCTCAGACTGAATTGTGTTCAGATGAATTTGCTTTAATCCTAACCCTTGTATTAAGGTTCTTGCTGTATTTTAGTGTTCTTGTGCTGCTGAAAGTTATCCTGGTTACTGCCTTCCTTCACAAATGCGCTCAATTCAAATCTCACGTCTTAGCTCTGTCTGAGCTTTCTCCTATTGACTTGGATTCTTCTGATACAATTTCAACCGGGGCTAATCAGTAAACGGAAGGAAAAGTCATGAAGGATGACATCGATTTTTCTGCGATTTTTGAATTGCAGTCTGCCTGTTGTTTTATAAATGCCAGTGGAGGAAATGAACAAAGCCATTCTGTCCACTTTGGCCATGCTTCCAAATATTGAATTAACAACCCCTTCATTCAGCTCAGCACTTCCCTCTTTGCAGCAGAGGACAGATGTTTACAGGGCAGGCAATTTTTGTTAAGCTTCACAGTGTTGAACTTGCTCACCACATTTGTCACAGTCAAACATTAGCAATTGGGTAAAATTTTAAACTTCAACAGAAGCAATAGTTTTTCAGTAGCCGAGAGTCCTGACCCTCTGTACAAAGCAAATAGCATAAAACTGCTAGCTGATTTTTACCAGGTCAGCTAAAAGATCAACTTCTGTTGGTTCTCTTCTCGGATAAAGGCTTTTTAACTTCACTCATTTTCCGATCTCAGTCCTTGCAGAAGATTTGATTTGACTTGGAAGAAATTTAATATTGTTTGTGAAAATATCCCCATAAAAGTGAACTGATGCTCACAAGACTTGCAGAAAATGTCAGTTTCCTTTGTTACAATGAGTACAGTCAAACCTACAATAATGTTATTCAAGCAAACATCATCTTACCACAAACCATATAGATCTACATTTGTAAGACATTATGACATTTAACTGTTTGTTATAATGGCTATGATTTGTTTTATGTTTTAAGTGGTAAGAGATGGGCTGTTTCTAATTTACATTTCCACAATATCATGAAATATTTGAATGAAAGAAGAAATTTTAGGTCTTGTGATATATTTTTTTTGTCAGCAGGAATGCATTTCATCAGACTGCCTAGCAAGAGACAGCTTGGTACTTTAATGTGTTGCTCAGTTTAAAATGCTGCATTCTGTTGTCCTTAATTTTGTATCAATCTGCCATTTTATTATAAGTTGGTCAGCATGTTTATGCATTTTTGGTTGTGCACGTCTTCAGCCTGTGCTGTCTTTTACTGCTCTGAATTGTTCTGGCTCTCACACAAATGCCCACTCTTCCAGTTCTGTTCGCTAGTTCCAGTGCACTCTTCCACTTTCTGTCTTGGCCTTCTTTCTGAGGGGTGAAGCTCAGCCCTGTTCCCCCCGCGTTTGTTTGGACGTGTGTGAGAGACTGGTTGTTTGCGTCTCTACTACCCATCTGCATTGTCACAACACCTCCCCCCCAGGATGCATGTGCTGCCATTTTCTGTTCAACAGCACTTTTCTTTTTCTACCGTTTCGTTTTTGTTTCTCTTGTACCTACCACACACGAATATTGTCCATGTCCCTGTTGACTGTGAGGCAGTGCTATGCTCGTCGCTGTACCATTTTTTTTTTTTATTTGAGCCCCCTCCCCTTACCCCTGGTGCTTTTGTTTTTTGTTCTTGTAGTTGCAGGACCCCCGCATGTATGATCAGGTCTATAGGTACTTAGACCTTCCAGGGCAGGTATGTGAAAGAAAAAATAACTGATTCTTTTTGAAATGTGTGTGATTTCTGCTTTAGCAACTTGCTGCTTCATTTCCCTACAACTCTGTGCTTAAGCTCTTCATACATTAATTAGTATTGGGGACAGAGTGCTGATTATTCAGACAGATATTTCATTATTATTCAGTTTTTTTATTGACTGAGTATTTTGATTGAGTTGATCGATGAGCACTCCCAGTTTTCGATTTTTTTCCCTTTCTTTCTTTACTGACTTCTTTAAAAAAAAACTGATTTCTATTATTGCATATCTAAATAAACAAACTTTCTGATTAACACAACTGCAATGGTAGTTTTAAGCAGGACAAAAGTCACATACTTTTGAGCTTTAAGTTAAATTTGAAAGGCTTCCCAGCATTTAGAATAATAATAACTGTGATTCTCTTTCTGTTTATAAGCCAGCCTCTAAATCTCACTGCTGCTTGTTGTTTGTGTGTAAAAAGCTTTAACGGTTTGATTTTTATTTTTTCCTTATTTGACATATTAGCTGTGATCAATTCTACCAAATAGCTAAGTTTTGTTTTTTCTTCCTCTCATCTTCTTTCACTCATCCTCATCTGCTGTGGCTCTGTCCTCCATTTAAATCACCCCCTTCTCATTCATCATGTTCCCTCATTAATTTCCCTCCCCTCCATCGCCCGCTCCTTCACAGCTGAAGGCAATCGACCGTCCGCCTGAGCCAGAGAAGGTGCCACGGCAGCCTCACGATCGGAAGAAGGAGTGGCAGAAGCTGGCGCAGGGGCCGGAGCTCGCCCAGGACGCACCTGAGGACAAGCACAGGGAGGCCAACGGATCCACTGGTTACCACGACAGCAGGTGAGTGCAGGATGCATTGTTTCCAGCTGGAAGTTGTCTGAGTGAACTTCCCCTTCTCAATTCAAAGAGACTGGAAAACGTACCGTCTAGCGATGTTTCCTCTGATAGAAACGGTGAGTGAAGAGTTCCTGCAAAATCTGGAATAGTGTGAATAGTTTTACAGCCGAATAAGTATCCATCCGTCTATTCACTCTAAGATGAATTGGCAGATGGATACTTTATTCTTTAAAATAGGCATTAATGGATTCAATACACCTGGATATTTGAGTCTGAAAACATTTAATGCAAATGTGAACCTTGAAAACATGTAAGAAATACTTCTAATTTTCATCCGTTTTATACAAAAACTTGGAAACCCATACATACCTCATTTTTTTCACATGTCACCTTCCAACCACAATCTTCAAGGTATTCTATTGGAATATAATATGACACATACAGAGTAGAGCGTGGTGATGAAATGGACTGAAATGGAAACATGGCTTTCACACACACTGAAAAATTTTGTCATTCTTCTTCAGTCTTATTGGATAGAGAGCATCTGTGAGCCACTGCTTCCATGTCTTACATCAAATTCTCAGTTGAATTTAGACCTGGACTTTGACACTACAAACTCTAAAAATCTGGTCATTAACTGGAGAGTGATTGTTAATTTTTGAAAGCAAGTGAGATGGGATGCTATAGAAATGTCCTCAAAACAGCACCACCCTGTGAAGTTTGGTGGTGGCTGCATCATGCTCTAACAATGTGAGAAAAAGGTGAGAGACATTTGCAATCATGATGCGACAAAAACGGAAAAAAGATAGAAGTGTATAATATATATATATTTTAGAGAACCGGCATTTCTTTTGTCTCTATTCACAAAAACTTATGTGAGAAATACTTACACAATGGTGGGTGGGACATAAAAAAGGTTCCAATAAAATAAAAGTGGTGTTGATGATCATAATGAGTGCTTTTTTTTTTTCAGAACTGCCCTGTACATGGAACATCTGGACGGGCACTTCTCGCTCGCAGCGCTGCCCTACACCCAGATGAACGAGCTGCTGAACCGCACCGGGGACAGAATGTATTCCCGACCCCACGACCCTCCTCCCCCGCCTCCTCCTGGACACCCACTGGGTGAAATCAAGCCCCCTTCTGTGATCAGGTCGGCTCTGACGTTTTTGCAGAAGTTTGTTTTTAACATCTGCACTATTACAAATACAACATATATCGGTTTGTTCACCATTTTATATTCTGGTTTGTCAAATTAAAGATTTATTTTCATGCCACGGAAATCCTGGTTAACAGGGATAGAGAGTGGATTCAGCTGGTCAAAGATGAAGGCCATGATCAATAGTTTAAGGTCATAGAGCATATTAACTGCTGGTTTTCTGCTTCTACTGCTCTTTTATGGATCAAACGGATTGATTAAACACAACCAACATTTTTCTTTCGCAGTTGTCCATAAGCATTCCCCTGCTTTGTCTCACTTCACACCGGTCCTGCATAAAAGCTTATTTCCCTCTCAGCATTTGCTTGACGTTTTGCCGTGTTGTCTTCTTCATGAATTGTCTTTGATGTGCTCTGTGTCTCACTTTCACCTCCTTCAGTTTTCATTCGAGTGTGTTTGTAGAAAATATGCTCTATGCTATTTTCTGCCTCTTACTGTTTTTTTTTTTCTGCAGTGCAATTTTCTCTGCAGGAGGAAACATTATTGTGAGCTTTTCCATCTTTGCAGTGTTGTGGTTCACAGCTATATTTACCCTCACAGCTTCAGCGTCGGTGAATGGCCAGCATGATTAGCATTCTGCCTTTAATGTCGGTAAATGCTGATGGAAGTCTGATAACAGTGGGGAGTTTAGAAAGGATGCTCAGTCCACATTGCTCATGCATTATTGCTCATTTTTAATTAAGAAGAGCTGTGATTTAGTTGAATGAAACAAACAAAGATGTTGACATTTGCTTCCTCCCAGAGGAAGGATTTTAGTTTTCCCACAGCATATAATCAGTTGATTGAGCTGGATTTTCAAAATTACACTGATGATGTAATCAGCTGCAGTCTGGTTACAAAGCCCGAGGGTCCAAGTATTCGTCCAGCTTGAGCTCCTTCACATTTTATTATTGTATAGCCACACATTTCAGTGAAGTTTTATTGGGATTTCACATGATAAACAAACATAAAATAGTGTATAATTGTCAACTGGAAGCAAAAAGACCTGTGGTTTGAAAGCAAGTACAAATGAAACCTATATTTGCATTCCCTGATCTTTTGGTGTATGCCTCTAACAGCTTTGCACATGTAGAATCAAACATTTTTTTGCACCATTCTGTCTTTGCTATCTCAAGTGTTTCACAATGTCTAAAAGGATTTTCCGCCAGGTCTAATCGAATGTGAACAGCTTCTCTTCCCATGCAAGAAAATGCACCTTCGTCCCCAACCTGCCTGCTGTGTTCTTTGGTTTTCATGATGGTGTTTTACAGAACATCTATATTTATACCAAGATTAAGTAAATACAAATACTATAGAATGCACCAAGTTTTATTTAATAGTAGCTGTGTATGAGGGACTGAACCAGATTTTCATTGGTAAAAAAAACTTTGGTTCACTAACTTAAAATTGATCTTCAGCATAAAATCCTAGCAAAATATGTTCCAGCCTGCAATTGTAAAATAAAAATAAAAATTTGAAAAAATTAATGTGGGTACATTTTGTGAGAATGTTTGGGAATCTTGATGCTTCACTGTAAAAAGTCATCATCATATTAAAGATGAACTGTATGTAAGGAAAGGAACATCTGCTTTAGCTGAATGAACCACATTGTTGTTTTTCTGCTCCCTTCAGCTCCAGTTCAGGTTTCTCAGACAGCAGACCTCAGTCCCCGGCGAGGACGGCGGGCCTCAACTCCAGTACTCCCCTCCACCACCTCCCCCTCTCCCCCCACCTCCTCCTCCCTTGCCCTCCATGGGCCTGCGAGGCGCTGCTCCTCCCCCCATTCCTCCTCTGCCAATCCAGCATCAGCCTCCAGCCATCCCTCCTCCCCCTGCTCCGCTCCAGATCGCGCCTGGGGTGCTCCACCCGGTACCACCGCCCGTCGCGCCGCCTCTCCACTCCTCATCCCCGGCCCGCCTCCAGCACGGCCAGGACAAGGGCCTGGGTGGAAGCTCTGGGACCCTGTCAGACGGCACCATCCTGCCCCCTCCCCCCCCACCACCTCCACTGCCACTCCCTGGAGTGCGAAGCTCGTCGCCTTGTCAGTCGGGCCCCCCACCTGTGCCGGCCTTTCCCTCAGCAGGAGCCATGGCTTCCCCGCCTCCTCATGCCATGCACGATGTGGGCACCAAGCGGCACCATCCATCCAACCTGCCACCAATCAGCGACGCGCGGAGCGTGCTCTTGGAAGCTATCAGGAAAGGTCAGATGTGTGTCATGGACAAAACTTGCATATCTGTGCAATTACAAGTTATTTCTGTTTTTCAGAGCTGTAAAATGTTCATCCACTTATTTTACACTAGTTACATTTTGAAATATATAACTAGAGTACAACTTCTCTTTCTCAATTGTGTTAAAAAAATAAAACAAAATATGTAAGAAAGCGAGAGAAAAGCAAGCATAAACCAGCAAGGACCAAAGCTGCAAAAGTAGAATAATGTTCCTGAAACACTGAATGATCAGTGCATAACACTATGCTTAGCTAACACTAACATATTGATAGCAAAGTCTTCTGCTCAAATTTGAGTCAAGTGAAGATTTAATATAATAAGGAAGACATAACTATTGTCTGAGTTCAGCAGTTTGGAGGCTTAATAAACCAGGATTAGACAGAGAGATTCCAAGAGACTATATGGTAAAAAACAGTCTGTATGTAATTAACCACAGTGATTGATTGATTATGACATAAACTGACCTTCGAAACACTAAAATCCTGTCAGAATTCAGAATCCTGTCATGTACTCATGAAATAGAAAACTCTTTTAAGTCCATCTACTTGTTTTCTCCATGGTGTTTGCACCTAAACAGTGACTTTCAACCACAACTTAAGTATTTCTGTTTTAAAATAGCTAATTCAAGGTGAAAACCAATTGAAATAACACATTCATGTTATGTGAAATTGCAGATTTTCTTCTTATAATGGACAGACCTATTTTTCAAGACAAAACAAAACTAGATATAAAGGTCATTATAGAAATGTCCCTGCTTAGTATGTCTAGATATCTCTCGTTTTTGTTTCTTACCCAAAGAGAAGTTATACTTTTAATCTCGAAATGTCTTTAATTTGCAACTGAAGTCCTTTTATTCGTTTAGCTGAGAGTCTGCATTTTGCTGCGACCATTTTGTATTCAGATACTGAGGTTTCCTCCTAATTTCCTGCTGCAGGAATCCAGCTGCGAAAAGTGGAAGAGCAGCGAGAACAGGAGGCTAAGCACGAGCGAGTTGGGAACGACGTGGCCACCATCCTCTCTCGGCGCATCGCCGTGGAATACTCAGACTCGGAGGACGAGTCCGAATTTGATGAAGGGGACTGGATGGAATGACAGAGCGCATTGGGGGTGGGGAAAAAGAGATTTGCTGGTTATTGATTATAAAACATGTTCAGGTGTCCCATGCTCCATCAGCGCTCCTTGGCTCACCATCAAAGAAGAGGAGCCTTTTGGTCAACCCCCACTTCCACAATCGAGCTTCCGTTTTGTTTTATCTCTTCATATCTCTGTCTCATTGTGGCTTGTTTTTGGTGGAGAGACTCCACTCTCATCGGACTGTCTAATGTTTCAAAAGATTTTTTTTCTTTCTTTCTTTTTTTATCCTTCATTTATTTCTGCAGTAATAATTTCTGGTTTGTATCATCTTTACTGGTATACATGAAAATGACACTTTGAATAATGACTTTTGTTTTTATCTGTTCAGTAGTAATGTTGGACAAAATGAGAAGGAAAAGTGAAGGCATGTTTCTCGTTTAAGTTCTCCTATATGATTTTGCCACCTGGTGGTGGAATTTGGCATTGAGTGAGTGCTGCTTTTGTTTTATTGTCTTTTATAGTCTTAAAACATTTATTAATTTAGCAGGCCAGTAGTTTCCAGTACCGAGCACTACGTTAACAGTTTGAACACCCGTTGGGTTGTGTTTTTTTCTTTTCTTTTAAATCAGAACTGACGTTACTGCAAAAACAGACAACCGTTTGTTTTAAAGTGAAGATGAAGAAGCATATGGCTGCTGTGACGACATGTGTGCATATCCATCCATTTACCTTTAATCCAGGGGAAATGTTTGACAAGAGGTTGCATTTTTCTGTCTGTCCAGGTTCGATGGAGCCACTTCTGCCATTCCTGACCTCTATAAAACAAATAATGGAAATGTCACAAAAGAAACACTAAGCCATTGATTTTTTTTTTAAAGTAGAATAAAATTTTTCATGACTCTGGGAGTGATTTTTTTACTCTGAAAGTGAATCAGAGTTCCTGCCTTTCTTATTGTTCATGTGCACGAACCAGAGCAGCACCACGTACAGACCATTAAGTCTTACAGAAGGCAGCTTTTCTGTCAGATCCTCTTCCCACTTTAGTATGTACCAGCCCACCAAACCGCAGAGCTTTTCTCGTTTGCTTCTGCAGCTGTTGTTCAGAGGAAAATCTGCACACTGCTGACTTTGCAAGATCTAAAACGGAACAACAGAAGCGTTATGCCTGGATTTGGCTCATTGCAAAGTAAATGTCCGTCATCGCTCTGAGTTTGGTTGTTTTTCTTCTGTTTAGCATTTTTTTCAACTTGCCTTATTGTTCGTACAAAACGTATTGAGTTGATGAATGTATTGTGCTGTTACTACTTACTTGCCTGCGCTTGTTTGGATTTGCTGTTTCTATGTTTTGGGGCACAACAGGACAGAAACCCTGGTTTAAAGAAAAATTGAAAAAGATGAGAACATTACTGTATATCATAACTTATCTAACTGTTGACTGTAACAGTTTGCTTGAATTAATAAAAATCTAATGTTATGTTTCTTCCCCATACTTTACATGCCTCTTTTTAGGCTCAGTTTCACCTTTTTTACAAAAAAAATTTGCTATCACACTTTTAATTGTTCTAAAGCTCCCGGTAGACCAGAGGAACATTGGAAGGGATATTGCAGAAGATTTTTAAATGAGGTTCTGTAAACTTTGCAGTAGTTGATCCATTTTTGCCTTTAGTTTGAAATTATGCCTAAATGAGCTTCACCTTGTAAGGCTTTAAAAGTCTTTTTAGGGTTGGATAATTGCATACTTCACAAAACAAAAAACAGTGACTGCATAAAGACATCATTTGTAACATGAAATTGTATGCAGTCCCCAGTTAGTCTAAAGGAATGCAAGTTTAGTCTGTAGTTTTAAGTTTTAAAATAGTTGTGAGTTTCTAACCCGCATGTGGCAAGACTAAAACTTCTGGAAAACGATCACGATCTGGACGAATGAGGATGTCCACAGAGATGCTGACAAAGTTTGTCCTCGTTCAGTCTTGAATGCCACCATTCTAAACTTCAAAAGCATTCCTCTGACTGTAACATATGGGTAAGTTTTGGGTTTGTAGCTATTACTGTATTTGTTGCCAACTTCGCCTTAATTGCACATTACTCCTATCTTTCCCTCGCTCATAAATGCTGAAGAGAAATTTTCCTAAATATACATATAAATCCCATAAGAAGGCAAATTATGAATACTTTGGATTATCACAGAGAAGTTCTGTGAAGCCACATCTTGGTCTCCAGTAATAACACAAGTTGTAAGAAATTGTCTGTTTTTTTTGGTCTGCCAAAATTAAAGATGCCAGTGTTAACATAAAAAAAGTTGCTGCTCGATGTGCCGTCACGCTCATGCATTATCTTGTGATTTTCATTCTGTTCATCTTTTCACATCTACTGTAGGTGTTTCTCTCCCCTTATCTAAACACAAAATGCTTCCATTGTTTTCATTTATCCTGTGACTTCTCCTATTATCATTTTAGACTTTTCCCAGCGTCATGTTGAGAAATCATTCGTTCAACATTTTAATGCTCATCACAGCGTGGCATATCACATCTGCACTTGTCAGCTTCAGAACCGCATACGTAAAAAAAAAAAAAAGATCCATTGTGAGGAGATCTCACTGAGGTTTGTTGAGCGCTGACATGGTGCCAATTAAAAATGTGTTTGTCTAAAAACAGGTGGTGAGAAATATCAGATTGCCACATGCAGTTTAGTATTCTACTCATAATACAATGAATAATATTTCCTAAAATTAGCAGACATGAAACTGACAAATTAAATTAACGCTGGTTAACATTAGTATTTTCTGTAACTGGAAACAAACACCTGGGAAAGTTGTCTCTAGGGTTCTGGAAATAGCTCTTCATTCCAACTGTTGAACCAAAAAGGCAGGAATCTAGCTTTAGTCAGGGCTGTGGAAAAGTGAAGGATATCTTTCCAATATCAGATTTACTGAGGGAGTCATCAAAGTTTTATTGTCCATCAGCTTGTCTTCAATGTTGAGTCTGATGTGTCTAATTTTCCTCCAGATGTTACCTCATAGATTCCTTATGAGATTTAGATCAGAGTAGTTTGCAGGCCAATCAAGCTTAACAATTTTCATTAAAGTGGGTATAAATACTTTTGGTAGTGTGGGAAGGTGCTAAAATTCCAGCTGGAAAATTAAATCAATATATACTTAATGCTAGTCAGCAGATGGTAAATTAAATCCTTTGAAAGTTTCTGGTAAAGGTCTTGATTTCTGTACATTTCACAGTTTAGTCACATAAGAAACATTTTTAAATGTTAAAAACAATATGATCACTGATTAGCGTCGCATTACTTGTTTTAAAAAGGTGCTGGATTGTATGTGACAATTTTTCTTTTTTTGCAAACCGCTTAATCAAATTCATCCTGAGTGGATAACATGCAAACTATCTTCAGAGGTAATTCCTCCTCTAGCACATCATTTAACTTTCTGAGTAATAGTCCTGTGTTGGGGTCTCTCCTTCTGGATCTGGTGGGCTCTGTGTCTGAGAAACACACAGCATCACCAGCAGTTTGACATCGCCTCCTGGTGGACAGCATGGGGAATTCAGTTTCAAAATATTTGTATTGGGAAACTGAATGTTCACTTTATTTGTTTTTCCATTTTTGAGTGAGAATTAAGATTTTTCATGTTTCTGCACATTATTACTATTGGAACTAATATGCCACTAGAATCAAAGTATAACTAAATACAAACTTTTAAACTAAGTACATAGAAAATCCAATAAAGATAATTTATAGTTTCCTAAAGATGTTCTTTTTTATTGTTATTGAACATAGTGAAAAATAAATATCTGTGTTATAGGACCACATCAAAACAGCTGTAATATATCAAGTGTGGTTTTACAAAATATTCAGGAATACAAATGCATCACAAACTTTTCAATTCTTTTGTCACGATTTTTCAAACCAAGCACCATTTTCAATCAACTTCACAATTCTACTCTATCACATGAAATTGTGAATGTCAACGGATGTGGATGCTTTTGTAAAGCATGAAAATCGTTTAGCAGTTATTTTTATTCTTATTAAGGTGATTTTACCTCAGCAAGCTTTAAATTACAAACAACTTTCTCCGTCTTTATTTCAAGTATTTCCACATCACGTTATATCAAAAATGTCCGAGGAGATAACTAATCACGGATAAATGAGTGTTTCTATTCTGTATCATCATCATTAAGCACTTGCCCTCAGGTTGTGCTCCAATAGGTTCACTGGACTTGATGTGCAACTATTTGCTCCCTGTTTATGAAAAGCGACATATTTTTCTCCCCAAATGAAACAATAAAAACTCAGAGCTGATGCTGAGCTGGCCTCTTTCTTCTTCTCCTGCTAAAGTATCCTCTCAACTATAGTACGACAACAGGTGTCAGATAGTAAAAATATCGAGGTTTCCTCCGTATTATTGACGTTGATTTATCCTAAAAAGATCAAGTGAGGCAGGTGGTGGTTCTGTAGTAATGAGTTTTGACCAAGTGAGGGCAGCAGAGCTTTTTGTCACAGCGGGAAGGTAAACATCACGAAGAAGAGAAACACTTCCGCACAGTCAGCAGCGACTTGCACTTTGCCTTCTGTGGCTTTTGTCGCAGAATGGCTAAAATGAAAGACAAGAAACGAGAAAATGTCAGCATCGCTTCCGAGGTAAAACTTTCCAACCTTTGTTTTCGGAACTTATGCGTCAGTCGCTTTGTTTAATTATATATTTTTTTAATCCCAGACGGTGTTTGTCATTCATTCACTGTTCTGCTCGTTCTCTTTCTAATTTCGTTACGTTGTTAGTAACGTCGTTTGATGCTTCTGTGTGTGTAAAGATTGACCGGCTGGAGGAAAGACGGGAGCGCTGCCACGACAACCTGGAGAGGGCGGAGTTTAAAAGCAGGAAGGCGAAGCTGTCCGAGCAGGAGAGGTGAGGGTGGAGGAGGTGGAGGTGTCCAGCCGTGTCTGCGAAGTGCTCTGTTGTGGAAAAATAACACCACAGTCAAACTGGAGACATTAAACTCTACAGCTGCAGTGCACCATTCATACACAAGGCCACCTGAGGGCATTTTCATAGGCAAAACAGATAGAAAATAAGAAAGCATGAGCATAAAAGCATCAGCTTGCATTCAGTTCAATTAAAAAGGCTCTATTTGTCCCAAATGGAAATTAAATATCAGTGTTACTCATACCATTCAAGTGTTGTCAAAAGGTCATTGGATAGAGATGCTGTTCTGTGAAGCTTCCTTTTCAATCCGTCAACCAAAACATTCACAAACTAAACTCAAAAAATAGCAAATCAGAAATGACTTATGTAAACATATTATCAAACTGTCCAGACCATGTATCTCTTCAACTCCGTTTCATCATTACACACAACTTGGTGTTTGTCAATCACATAAAATCCTGGTAAGAAACATTACTGTTTGTGAGTGTAATGTTACAAAATCATGTTTATTCGTCCAGCACATGCCAGCAACAAGGCAACTCAAAGTGCTTTATATCATGCAAAAATCATAGAACACTCAGTCAATAATTGAAACATTACATTTTGCCTTAAGAGGTATGAATATGTTGGCAGAACACTCTATTTTTGGGAATGTATGTTTGTATATTTGGTTGTTTATTTTGTATTAGCAATGGATGCTTATAATTTTCCCATTCCACTTTTATCCACAGACAAGAACTGGAAAACGAAATGGCAATAATAAATGAGAGGGTGCAAAAGCTCGGTGAGCTGATACATCTAAAATATTTTTTCCTGGTGATACACTCCACTTGATTACTGAACTATGTTAATGTATGATTTGGATATATGATCATTGTTAAAAAGTGAAGCTAAGGGACTCCCTGACCACAACTTTTCAAGATTCTAGATTCATTTTTCACATTCCTTACATTAGAGCCAGCGTCTTTTGTATTCTTGCAGCAGTGCTCACCCATAGCTAGCAACATTTTAATTAACACTTAAAAGTTGAGTTGTGGGTCACGTTTACTAACAAAATGGCAAATTAAAATAATGAAAAGCCTCATCGAATTATTTCAAAAAAAATGTTGGTAGTTTTTACTGTTCTGTGCAAAAAAACCACAATAACACTAATCAGTCACAGTTACATTGCAGACTGCGGGTTGCCTAACATTACATGTTAATTTGTTACGTTTTTTTTCCCCTTAGATAAAGAGCTTGCGATGTTGAGAGGAGAGAACCGAAGGAACATGGTGCTGTCAGTGGCCCTGCTTACGATCAGTGCTCTCTTCTACTACGTCTTTTTCTACAATGAGGATGACACATGACGCCACAGAGAACCTTAGAGGAAGCTGCTGCTCTTAACAAGTTCATCTCAGCCTTGGAATAGGATCATTATCTGAGCACCTACCAAAAAAAAACAACTAAGGACTGTTTTTTTTTTTTTTGGTATGCCTCCAGGTGGCGTCATTGTCATGTAAAGTTTCTCAAATGGTGCCCTAAAGTTGCCAAAATTTACCGAACTTTCTTAATTAGAGATTCTGTACCATTTTTGAATCCTGTGGACCAACAGTGATATTAAAGTTTGTTGGACAGATTTGCCTGTGAAATGAATGAACATACTCCTTGGCCTGTTTGTTGTTGTGTTTGTTTAGAAAACCCTTATTACACATAGGCAGCCTAATTAGCACACTGAATGTAAAGTTTGCCTTATCTAAGCCAGTTCTTAATTACAGTGAATGCATGATTGCCTTTCAAAAACTACACCTATCAGTGAATGTGCTTGACTTTTTGTTGCTTCCTGTATGCATTTCATAAAAAATGACTAAGAACTGACAAACATACAGAAAAAATGTTATGTTTACTTCAAATATAAAATAATGGATTTGATTTAATTCATTTTTGTAAATAAATTCATATTTATCCAGTTTTGGAAGTCATCTGTCAGTTTTTGCGTGACCTCCTGTGTACTACTTTCTGATCATGTTGTTTTAGTAGTAACATATTTATTGAGTCTTAGAACGTTTTACAATAGCACATTTATGAAAAATTTGGTAGCATATTGATGTCTAATTTAACATTTTATCTCTGCAAAAATGTCATAAATGAGCAAAACTGTTCTTTTTAAACTGCTGTTCTGTATTTATGAGTAAGTCATTGAGTATCAACATGACTTTTCCCCCTTTTAAAGATGCGTATATATATATATTTCTAATATATAAAAGTATTTGGAATTTTTTTTCACAAAAGGAAGAAGTTTGGGGACTTTCTGACAGTCTTAGGTTGAAGAATGTTGTGGAACAGATTTCTGAAAATAAATATTAAATCCAGCTTCATTATGATTATATTAGAAGAGTAAAAAAGCACAATAAATTGAGTTGAAATGTTTCAGTCTACTGTAGAATTAAGGAATGCAAGCCTCATTACATGATGCAAAAATGATAGGGCCGGCTAATATGTGATACTGTTTTCATGGAGTTCCTGTTGAGAAAAATACAAAATGAAAATAATGTAAAATATTGAAAATCTGAATATTTGGTCAGAGCAAATTTTCAGTTTATTCCCGTGGGAGATCTTTTATTTTGTTGGGAAATATTTGTGTGCCCTCCCTCCTACACTCTGTTAGCACCAACGCAGACTTTGTCACCCCTCTGCCTGCTTGCTCTCTTATTCCCAGAGAAAACAAATATCAACAAACCCATTATGCAATCCTTCTGTGGGATTTAAAAGATTATTATTGTTGTCACCATCCCTGAATTAATTTGAATAATCACCTTGATGTCAGGCTGGAGACTGCTATAAAAAACATTTTACGCAAACCAACCGTATTACTTGTCGATACAATTAAACTACATCATGTCTCCATGTTCACTTCAGAAACTCATGATTTATTGACTGAAGCTAATGAAGTTTGACAAGGAATAAGACTTAATAAATACTGTATTACGTTGTTTTCTGTCTCTTCGAATTTGTCTTTCTCTAGTATTGAAAGATGCTTAAGCTTTCCTTGAAAATTGGAAGTCTAATCTCTGCTGTAAATATTCAATATGTGAAGACAGAAAGCAGTCAAATGAATAAATACAATATTTCAGTAAGTTTGACAGAGTAGTAAAATGTATTGTACTGCTTTCATAGAGCTACACAGTATGAAATCAAACAGGGGTCTATAACCTTTAGAATCCAAAGCGACATTTTAGCCACAAATGTTACATGAGCTTTTTCAAAGAAAAGATAACTTGGAATTTTTATATTTGTATAAATATCAATTATAGGGAATTCATTACCGTTCTAAAAAAATCTCTGGTCATGCAAAGCTGGAAGAGACTTAAAGGAAGGAGTCCTCCACAGCATTGACCCAGGGGCACTGAATACAAATCTTTGACATCATTTTGTGATTTGTATTAGCACCAAAAGTTTTAAACTGTCATTTTTCTTCAACTTGCAAGATCTTCATAAATTCACTGACGTTTGTGGACATGTGATTAGTTTTGGAAGGCACTGTAATGCCCCAGGCCTGCAAGCCGCAGATAATCAGTAAAGAACTCACGCTGAAGACTCACCCAGAGTGACATGTACAAACATTTGAAACTAATTTCTCTCAAATCAGCAGCTGCAACAGCAGATAATCATCAATATTTAAGTCTGTGTGCGCTGGGAGTGATGCAAGTCATATTCATGAGAGTGTCACGAAGCTTGTGGTTGAATATGCTCCTCCATGCTTAATTTCTGCATTAGTCATCATCGCTACAGTTAGGTGAAGGGAACAATCTCCCAACAATTTCTCCTTAAAATTGGATGATAGCAGGGTTTAGTAAATCGTGGAGGATATCGGGGTGATGGGTGAAAGTCAAGGTGAGGCACACGTTTGAGGCATACTTTTCTGCACGGTTCTTTAAAGGTTCAAAGGAGGGTGTGATAAAGTAAACTGATGACAGGTAATTATGTTGGGAGTGAGGTGTGAGTGAATGAAAGCTCTCACTCTATCTCTTTAACCTTATGTTCTTGCCGGTCAAGTTGACTTTTTTTTTTCACACATTACATTAATTCAGATATTTCATTCAGTATTTCAGGTTTGCTTCATTTGGCAGAAAAACTACAGTGGTGTTTTGGTCAGCTTGACGCTTGTCTGGGAAATGGAGTTTTAATGGGGCTTCTGGGAGAAACTATTGATTGCATGTTTTCTGAAGTTCTGTGCTTTGCGCAGGTGATTAAGTTTTTTGATTTTCTTTTGTATGTCTGAGAACTGCAGCTGATACACAGCAGGTAATAATTAGAATGAAGATCTCAGTGTTTAGAGGTCACAGAGGTTACTTGCTCGCCTTGTCCTCAGCAAAGAAATCCTGTACTCTGGTTAGTTAAACATGCATTTCCTCTTTTGAAGATTGAATTTTGAAGAAAATTGTTGGTAAAACATTTGACATCTAAACAATTTACCAAAATGAATGAAAATTGATTATTTTTTTAATCAATATTTACTTATATGCTCTTATTCTTTGTGACATTTGTGTCACAAAGAATAAATTTCTTGGTTGAATGAAAATCCAAATGTTTAAGTTGATCAGCAGTATGGGTAATTAAGGTCATAAAGTCAATATATGATTCTCCATTAGATAAATACATTTGTAAAAATCATTTTCAGTTCTTGGTGAAGTATAAATGAAGACGTCATTATGTCATGTTGTTCAGCAGGTTTTTGCAACATTCTCCTTTCCATAGTCAGCATCAGCACCAAGCAGAACACAGGAGACATTTCTAATTTTTATTCATATTTTTTGACTCACTGGCTCAGATGCCGCTCTCCCAACAGATGGAAAACATCATGGCATTTGAAGATGTTCTGCCTGACAACTCATGCATACATATTTATAGATCTTTATTGAAGAACGTAATTCAAGTTTGGAGAATGCGCTTTCCCACCCCTTCCTGATCATGCTTCTTGACACTTTGAAAAGTTATAAGAACATCTTTATTGCAAAACGTTTTGGATAGGTGGATGCAAGGATGCAGAATTGAAGCTTGCAACAACAGCAGGAGCATAAACATGATGAGTCAGAGAGGAAGTCTTGAATCTTAATGAAGCTGTCCAGATTGGGAGCGCTTCATGGATGTTATGTAGAATATGAAGAACAATGCATGTGAAGCGGTGCAGCTCAAGTTGACTAGCTTGTGTTTCTTCTGTCCTGTCCTCTTGCTTACAAAACGGCATATTCTTCTTCTTTTTTTTTCTTTTTTTTGTAGAAGCAACATTAAATTGTACTTTGATCTAGTTTGGTTTCAACAGATTGTAAATGTTGTTATCCACTACATTTGACTTTTATTCTGAAATTTAGACCTCATTTTGAATCCCCTTTTATATCTGCCCCATCGTGAGAAAAATACCGCTTCCTATCCCTTTACTAAAGGAAGAATAAGCCCCCTACTTATTCCAGTTTGCCATCATGTTTTAAATTTTTGTGACAAAGGCTGGCTCAAGTTCCCTCTATTTCAGTCACAATGAACCTGAGAACCAAGTGCAATGAACCAGTCCAATGGCATTTTATCAAACACTACAAAAAGAGCATTAAAACAATTCTGAAATGCTTTGTGAGGATGAGGTAGTGATACAGTTGTCAGATTGTATTTTGTTGCTGGTGGATGATTTTGTGTTTGATATAGGCCAAATTGGCAGTTTCCCAGGGCAGCAGTAGCATAGGGGCGAAGGTTGCACATACACACCAGATGGGAAAAAACTAACTTGTTGTTAGGTCCTGCATACATTTGATTTTTTTTTTTTCAAAGAGCTTGCTTTAACAACTTGGTACAGATAATAAGAAGACTATTGATTACTATTACTATTGCTTTCCAGTTTTTTCTGTTTTCTAACTTGAGATGGAGTTCAATATTCCTCAGAATTTGTTTTTTGTTGTTGTTGATATTTTTTATGTATTTTGAGCAGGCAGGACTAAGAGTGCCCAAATGTAAACATAGCCTGCAGGTAAGTACCAGAAACTTCAATGAATGTGAAAAACACAAGGTCATGTGAGGCAAGGTTCAATTAGCCCAAAATTCTATATGGACACAAATCCAAAGAACATCAAACATTACTGATGATGAGCAAACAGGTCTATTATCTACGGCTGACACAGACAAGGCGAACAGAGGCTGGGTAAACAAGCCGGGTGTACAGGCACAGCTGGAAACAATGACGACAATCGTAGAGTCGCAGCAATCAGGGAGTTAGGGCTGTCTTCCAAAAAAAATTGTGAAAAAGACAAAAGCTATGTCCAAACAAGCAAAATAAATATAATGAGTTATGAGACAATGTTATAAAATACAGAAAAAAATTAGCAATAAAATGAACTGAATAAACTAACTGCAGACAGAATTGAAGCTTCAATCTTCTCCCTGTTCCAACTCTTTTTTTCTGCTGCCAATGGATGTTACATCCATCCTCTTTACACCTTTGTCCCAAGAGGGGTGCTGGTGCCTATCTGAGGGGTACACTCCGGACAGGTCGGCAAACAGGACTAACAACCATGTACATAAATACTCACAGCAAGGGAGAATTTAGAGAAACCAATTAACCTGACAGTCATGTTTTTGGACTGTGGGAGGAAGCCAGAGTACCTGGAGAGAACCCATGCATGTTCAGGGAGAACATGCAAACTCCATGCAGAAAGACCCCGAACCAAGAATCAAACCTGTTGCCTTCTAGCTGCAAGGCAACAGTGCTACCAACTGTGCCACTGTGCAGCCTTGGATGTGCACCCAATAGCACTTGCAGAATTTTCCTGATACTTTGGAAAGTATCAGGTTGTAGTGTGTAAGGATCTTTAAAAGACATCAAAACCCCTCTTCAAGTCAACCCTGTATTGCTTTTGTGTTTGCTTGATGTGAAAACAATGGCACAACTGTTTTCTGCACCCTGAAATATTTTCTCACATGCTTT